CAACAAACAAACAAACAAAAAATTTAAAAACAAACTCGCCGGCACGAACCGAAAAAATTAGAAAAAAAAAACAAAAAATTTTATCTGTTCATAAATGAACGAAACAATTACTCAAATTTTAAACTATCATCATCATCATTATCATCATCATCATCATCATTATTATTATTATTATTATTATTATTATTATTATTATTATTATTATTATTATTATTATTATTATTATTATTATTATTAATAACTTTCAAATAAGTAGAATTAAATTAAATTAAATTTACATTTTATTACGATGAGTATTTTTAAAACGTGTGCGTTGATAAAACATCGGCGTTGATAAACTTTTATTAAAAAAAAAAAAAAAACAATTATTATTATTATTATTTATTTATTTATAAATAATTTTTGGGTTTACGTCACTGAATTCTCACAACAACAACAACAACAACAAAACCGGTTTTTATTTAAATAAATCACTTTTTTTTAATAAAAGAAAATTTTCCGCGCGTACAAGTTTAACTAATTAAAAATTGATCGGAGTAATAACATTTATATGGTAAACAAATATATATAAACGCGCGATCGAAAAAAAAAAAAAAAAAAAAAATTCGTTGGCCGTAAACGCGCACGAACGAACGAACGAACGGACGAACGTACGTAAGAACGCACGCACGTACGCACGAACGCACGCACGAACGCACTCAAAGACTTACGCACACGAAATTTTTTTAAATATTAATTTTTAATAACGAATTCTCTCTCTCGAAAAACAAACACGCACATCTCCCGAACGATGATGAAAAAAAAAATTTCGACGTGTTGTATTATTATTATTATTATTATTATTACGCTCCTCCCCCGACGGGGCTTCGACCCTCCCCCTCCTACTCCTTACCTCCCCGCCTTCTAAAAAAAAAAAAAAGCTTTCGACGTCGCGATTTTAAATATATATAAATACACGTGATGTTTTTAATTTTTTTTTAATTTCGAATTTTTTTGTTGTTTGTTGTTTGTAGTTGTTGTTCTTCTTGTTTCACACACACGATTCGCATTCTAATTTTTTTTTTTTTTATTATTATTCGATACTATATAATCTGTCACTGGGTGCGGTTGTTTAACAAAATAATAATTACAATACCGAAACTTTTTGTGTGTGTGTTTGTGTTTGTACGAGCACAAAAAAAAACAAACAAACGAACAACGGGATAACATTCGATTAATGGAGAGAAAGAAAAAAAAAGGAAAATTTGTTTTTTTTTTATATTCATTTAATTCTCGTTAAAGGTTTTTTTTTTGTTGTTAAAACTTAATAAAAATGTAATAAAAAATGATGGGGGGAGAACGGTGGGAAAGTGGGGAGAAAAAAGGGGGGGAGTAAGGGAAAACAAAAAAGAAAAAAAAAATTTACCACCGCATGTTTTGTTTTTGATACACGTAACAAAATATCTCACGCTGTTTTTTATCATCATTATTATTTCGATAAATTTATTACGAATTTTTCATTAGTTTTCAATTTTTTTTTTTGCGGGGGTAGGGGTCGGGGTAGAGATGGAAATGAAAGGTTAATATAATTTTTTTTTTATTATTATATTAATTCGGGGAGCCTTGCGCCATCGGATAATTTTATTTAACGAAATAAAAAAAAAAAAAAATACGTGGGTGAGTTCGTGAGTGCCTACGTCATCATTTTTTTCTTACTTTTTCATTTGACCTTTTTTTCCCGGACAGAACCTGCACAAATAATAATAATAATGATGATGATGATGATGGTAGTGGTGGTGGTCATGATGATGATGATGATGACGAGGATAATAGAGGAGGTGATGGTGATGAAGATAGTGATGATGACGATGATGATGACGATGATGATGATGATGGTGATGGTAATGGTGATGAGGGGGGTGGTGACGATGATGATGATGTTGATGATTGGGAAAAGTATCATTTTAATTATTTTTTAAATTTGATTTTTTTTCGTGACGTCATCACTCCAGTTTCACCTTTTAAATTTTTACACTGAAAAACCGACACAATTTTCGTTGTAATTTTTTTTTTTTTTTTGCAATACTTGCGACAGTGAAGCAGAAGAAAAATTGTAAAATATAATTAAAATAGTAAAATTTTCACAAATTTTCAATAATAATAATAATAATAACGATGATGATGATTATGATGGAAAAAAAGAAAAAAAAAATGAAGTAATTCGACTCGGAGCCATGTTTTTAATATATTTTTATTATTATTATTATTATTATTATTATTATTATTATTATTATTATTATTATTATTTAAATTAATATTTTTTAACCAGTTCAGGTGTGAAAATTAAAATTAAAAAATTTAAATTAAAAAAAATGTTTGTCGAAATTTTATACGATAATAAATTTTAAAAAATAACTAACGGTTAAAAAAGTAAAAAGTAAAAAAAAAAACAAGAAAATTTTTTTTTTGGGGGGCGGGAGGGAAACTGTAAGAAAGAAAATTTATAAAAAACCGGTTTTTTTTAATAAAATTCAATCGAAAAACTTTTATGTGTCAATTCGTGAATCATATTTTATTTGAAAGAGAGAGAATGAGAGAGAGGGAATGGGGGAGAAAATGAGAGAGAAAGAGAGAGAGAGAGAGAGAGAGAGAGAGAGAAAACCAAGTAAAAACT